GGCGGGGCGGCTGGTGCGGGAGGTGGCAGCCTACGAGGCCGCGGTGAGCCGCGTGGCCGGCCTTGCGGATGTCTGCCGTTTTTTTTTGCATGGAAGAGTGTGCGCAAGAAAAGCAAGGTCTATCTGCCCTTGATTGAAGCTTACAGTCTAGTAGTAGTACCCTCAAGTCCCGCCAAAGGCCTCCTTTGCCGGCCAAATATTGCGCGTTTCGCAGCCGCCTGAGTCTGCGTGCCAGCCTTCCAAACGCCCGGCCTGGCTGCTGGCGCCCAGCCATGCGCCAGCGCCGCATGCTCGCGGGCTTCAGTTTTTCCGTGACTGCAAACCCCCTGTCGCACCATCCCAACCGCAGGATCAGGCGGTGGTGCGTCCAGCCGTGGAGAAGCACCTGGGTGGGTGGGCAGCACAGCGCCTGCATGGGCGCTGGCGTGGACGGGCTCCTTATGCACGGCTCTCCGCTCGCCTGCCGCCCGTAGCGGCCCCCCCACAATGCTTTTGAAACCCCTCCCCAATCTCTCCCTGCATCGTCTGCCCCCTGACCCACGCCCTGATTTTCCTTCTCCACCCCCTTCTTACTTGCACCCCGCCCCATATCCCACTCAACCCACGCCCAAACCCCTTCCCTCCTCATCACCCGCGCCAAAACCCACCCCGCTCCCCCCGCCCGCGCCCCCACCCAGGTTCGATCCTTGCCGGCCGCATGGCGTCCAGTCAGCAGGAGGTGCTGTCTGCCCTGGAGGCCATGGGCGCGCTTGACCCCAGGGACAGGGCCTACGATGTGCAGGTGCTCAGGGCCGCAGATGCCCTAGAGCGTCGCATCAAGGTGCGCTAAAACAGGCGGATGCTTGGGGGCGCCTGCGCGCTGTCGAGCACGCGTGCGCGGGGACGCGGGCCGGGCACCGGATGTAGTGTCTGGCGGCCTGTCTTCAGGCGGCGCGGAGCGCGGCTGCACGCGGCAGGTTGAGAGCAAAGCCCGCGGCGGCGCAGGGCGTGCGCGCTAGGGTCTGATGTCGAGGGCACGATGGGGGCCGCGACCCCGCTGTTCCCTTGCAGTGCTGCCTGTCAACTGCGGGCGGCCGAGCGGCTAACCTTTGACCCGACACCCTTGATCACGCACGCGCCGCGCCCTTCATGACAAACGATGACAATCGAAACGCCTGCGCCATCAGGAGGAGGAGGACGTGCTGCCTCTGCTGGCCCAGGCGCCGGGCATGACGCCCGGGGAGCTGCGGGCCCTCGCCTCGGACTACTCAAAGGCCCGCGCCAGGGCCCCCGCGCGCCCGCCCCGAGCGGCGGTCGAGCGC